CTAAAATACTTTTTTTTTTACTTAAAATGTACGATATAAAATTATTTATCACAGATTAAAGTAAGTAATAAATTAATACAATACAAATTTAAAGAATCAATAAAATACATTTTATGTAAAAAAAAAAATAATAATACTTAAATGATTTTTAAAATTTAAAAACTAAATGATATTTCAAAAATAAATTATAATTTTAGCTTGATATGRCGCGGTCATACACTCAACTTCAGAAACGGTTTGAGTGTATGTACCGGCCAATTTTGCTAGCTCCCAGATGAATTGTCAGGGTTTTTAGCAACAAATCTTTACAAAAACGTTTCCAACCAACTACTCCTACCACACAGTACCGGGTTAAAAAAAAATTATGATAATATAAATAATAAACATTGGTACCTAGTAAATATGACCTATGTATAGTAAATAAATGTAGTTTTAACAAAAATAAAATTTTACAATACTAAAAAATTTCTGAATTTGGTATTAACGTCATAATGTGGCATTAAATAATAAATAAGTCATTTAGTATCTAAATTACTTGTAGAAAATATGATAAAAGTATTTTTAAATCATGTATTAACTAAAAATAAAATATCAAATTATAGTAATAGAAAAATATTTGAGATCTTATTTGGTTTTACGTTTCACATATTTAACTATTTTAATTCAAATAAATATAGATAAAATTTGTGATCCAAAATTATTAATATCAGCTTAATAAGTGATTTGTCACTTTTATCTTGATACTAAAATTAATTTTGTCATACTGTTTGAAACATGAGTCTCATATTGTGAGTAAATATGGGAGCAAGACGTCCGCAATTAGTTGATGTAGTCTCATTCAGTAGACTGGCAGATGCCTCCAAGAGATATTTAACTGGATCACTTCCAAGTTGATACTGTAAAATAAAATTTATTTTAACAAATATTTTTTATAATTAATTTGAAGTWACACATACTTGGGACATGGCATTAAATAATGCACGGAATGCAGGCTGTTTGTTAGTCTGAAATGTAGAACGAGATCCGTGAAGTACTGCCACTCCGTCTTCTTCAGCTGACTTGCAGTTGCTCATATACATACAATGATCAGAGCGATAATTATAACGGCACGGATAAACATAAACCTTATCTAAAATAAGTAATAACAATGATGTTAAAAATATACTAAGCCATTGTTTTATGATAACTTACCTGGATGATCGTGAAAAATTACATTTATAATATCTTGATCTCCCCAAGTAAGGTATAGTCTATATTTTTCCAAAACTGGTGCTAGTCGACTTATCCAATCAAATTCTCTCATACGAGTGAGATTCATTAACATTACACCAGAATTTAATCCTAAAATATATATTATGTACAACAATATTTGGCTACACATTTTATATCGACACTAACCTAATTTTCCATAGTATGGATGATTGGCAAATCTATTGTACCACCCAACATTCATGTCTTCATGTTCAGGTACCATTGCAGCCAACTGGGAAGAATTCATTTGAGAAAAATGTTTCCACACTTCTTCCACACTGCTTAAGAATAAGGTATCAGTGTCTACATAGAGAATTGAGTCTAAATGATTTAAAACCGTCTGAAATTTTAGATAGAAAAAAATTTACAAATGTTATATGTTAGTACATCAATTTGAACCATATTTACTGGTAAAAAAAGACGTTCAGATGCACATGGCTGAAATAGTTTTCTCCATTCATCAGAGTGTTGTTTAGGAAAAATAATASTGTGTATCTCATAAGAAAATGAATCATTAGTCAACAGTCTCCAATCACGTAACTAAAACAGAAGCCATAAGCAATACATAATGCATTCTCTATGACAGTGGTACTTAGTATTAGGTCATGTCAAACAATACTCACTGTCTCATCAAATTCCTGCTGAATGTTTTTTTCAGCAATTACAACAATTCTCAGATCTGAATTACCTCGAAAGACAATTGCTGATTTAATCATAACTAGTGCTTCAGATGTACGATTTCCACAAATCACGACAGCTATGACAACTTCCTCATTTTTCCTGCAGACAGTAAATGTTAATATAAACTTATGTAAACGACAAATATCAAGTAAATTGAAATTGTATTTACAGTGATTGATTATTGTATGAGATATGTAAAAATAAAATAGATTGCAATGATGTGTAATTTGTCTTACTTGGTGTGAAACAGTTGAACCGAATGGCTGCCGAGTAAAATACTGGTATTAAGCGCCGAAAACCTACCAATGTTATACATTATAGGTTTGTCAGGCAGATACAAGCACAGCAATGTAACGATCGAGAACCCAGTAATGCACAGAAACAGACATGACAATTTCAGTCGTACCATCGCATTAGATGTTGTTCAAACACATTCACGAAAAAGAATACATAAGATTTATTCTACTGCAATCGCACACTGTTTATCGTAKCGAGGACTAGACATTAGATAAAAGATGAATTTGAGCGAACAATGACATGGCATTAACAGAAGAAATGGTTTTAAAATTCTTCCGTATCAGAAATGCAACCTTATTTTAAAAATAGTAATTAATACAGTGTAATACTTAACATTTAAAAATGTTATCCCAATTAATAAAAATTACTTAGGGTAGAACAAGGAAATACTGAACAAAAAGTCAAAAGAGACAAAAACAAAACTACATTACTATAAAAGACAAAAGTATAAAAGGTATAAGCTTGATAACGTTTCTACTGATAACATGTATGATTATATGTGATAACATAGTACATATTCCGTTAGAATTTATTTAACGGTAACGCCGTTAACAGTTAACYGATAACAGAATTAATAAAAATTGACTTCCTGTTTGTCAAGCAGTCATTAATAATTGTCAACACAATATTTGTTTTCTCTTTCAGACATACGTGCAACATAGATTTATCAATTTCACCTAAAATCGTTTTTTATGATTTTTCCGTCGGCTGGTACCTAATCTCAGAATAAAATTACCTATTATAAAAATTTAAGACGATATTTTTAGGGTTTGACTCAAAGGTTTTATATTTTATTACTATTTAACTTTGTATTCGACTTTTAAAATAAAATAAAAATTGTTACTCTTAATAGTCTTAACGATGTTCAAACTGTTTTGAGAATTGAGACAATATTATTTRTGACMARGGCGTAAAATTTGTGCACAGAAATTTCAAGGGTGAGCGAGACTGGGGAGTGATTGTATTAAAAAATAAAAATATGTTGGTAAGTTTCACGATTTTATAGTATGGTGAACGGACATAAATCCTTCGTTTCATAAATTGAGATAATATTTATCTTTTAATAGTTATTATAACGCCACTGCGTTAAAAAAAATAATAGGTAGGTACCTAGTTCAGGGAATATGATGGAAACTAGATAGGAAAACTAGGAACACTATCCTACATTCATACCATCATACCATAATACTGCAATAGTTAAGTACCTRCCACTCAACATACAGCGTACTTATTGGTTTTATGTCGATTATAGCTGTGTAGATGTACATGACACATGACATACGTAGTATACTAGGTACTCTTGGAAAATATGTAGTGCAGTAGGTACTACAGTCGACAAAATAAATGTTATAATAAGCTTTAAATCGCAGAATTTTCATACATATTGCAACATGTTTAAATATTATACATTTACATTTTTTGTCTATTTCAAGATGCCTACCATATTGTTCAATACTTTAATAGACTCATTGTAGTGATTTTTAGTTTATTGTTGACAGATTTCAGGGCTATCATTAATAAACTATCCATTGTCCGTTTCTAAGTCTATGAAGTAGATATGAAGTATGAACAACGAACCCAACCAAGTTTCAATCGAAAAAATGTTTTCCATTTATAAGAAGAATAAATATATTTATTCACAAGTTTCAAAACATATTGCAACGTATTTATGATAATCTTCTGAATTTTTTATGCTTTTAAAATAATAAAATAGAAAAATATTAAAATAATCTTTAAATTAATAGTTGATTAATGGTAATTTGGTGGTTTATGGTGAAATTCAAAATTGTGTACCAATATTTTGTATGATTGCTTAATAACTGCCACTGGGTAGGAATTATATAGTAGTCTTCATCTTAAAATAAAATAATTTAATATTTATAAAAAATTATCTTCGATTTCTAATAGTGTTTTATTCTCTGTTTCTGGTAAATAAAAGTATAAGTAGAGTGATCCAAGAAATCCAATACAACCAAAGAAAATCATCGTGTATTCCAAGGTTAATAGGGTCTCTATTGCTAAGTATAATTTTGTTAACGTAAATATTAGTAAATATACCAATCCTGCAGATAAACCAATGGCGATTCCTCGACTTCTGTAAAAAAAAAAGTTGTAATTTAATCATATACTTATAGTATGTAATAATGATATAAGTATTTAATAAATATAATTGATTTAATTCAAAAAATAAAATATATGCAATAATTATAATTTATATTTAATTTAAAAAAATAAGGTAATTACACTTTATTAAATTTTTACGGGAAAGCATACTTAATTATAGAAAATTAACTWGTCATTCATAGAATCTTATTTTAGTGTTTATTAAAATTCATTATATATAATATACAGTATACTAGTATACACATCTTAAATCAAAGTATATATCATAATATTTTTTTAATTTTTTTTTTCGTAACCACACGATAAATTAAACTATATCCTCAAAGTTTTATGTGTGAAGTAAATCATTTGTAAAAAATATCAAATATATATATATATATAATAAAAAATAACGATCACGCATCCAAATACTAACTACACCCGACGTTACTTAACTTCAGTGATTAAGGCAAGAACTGATGTAGTCAACGTGGTATGGTCGTTAGCATTCTCAACTGATTTTATTAAAACATCTTATAGGTAATACTATTTTTCAAATAATATTAACTGATGGATTAGAGTAATTAGAATTATATATTATGTTAATTTCGTTTTTTAATTTAGGTATAATAACAATGTTTTYATAACACTCTTATCTTCTTTTTTTACATTAAAAATCAGATACACATTCTGTACTTCTTAGCCCAAAAAGACTTTTTGAAAAAGTAATAATATAAATTATAATGACAGAATAAAATTCAAATTTTGAATAAAAAGCCACCCCTTAGTGAAACTTGACTGGGARTATTAATCTATTATCCCAACGAATAGTGTACTTTTTTAGGTACTTACCTACCTACCTTTTTAGGTAGGTATCTATCCCAAACAATTCTGGCTGAGCTCCGATTTTATTCAATTTTTTTTTTTTATGGT